GGTAGTTTTCTTTTAATTTGGTATTTAATTAGTTGTGGTAGTTATTATTTAGAGTAAATTAATTTAATCTGGTAGGTTAATTTGGTTTAGGGATTAATTTAGGTTTTATTTTTAATTTGGAAAGAAAATTAGAAATTGAAAAGAAGGATTTAAAACAAAAGAAAGAATCTAATTTTGGGGCCAAGTCTGCTCAAATTCCTCAGGCCCAAAAGAATTGTGTCCAAACCCCATCCTTAAGCCACAAACCCACCCAAAAATCGCCCAGGTCCAAGCCCAAATCACCAGCTGACCCGGTCCACCCCTGTCAAAATGAAAACGACGTCGTTTAGCTAGTTTTAATCTCAGTCGTTGATCTCCCATGACCCAACTGACCTGACGAACTAAACCCCTTTTTCCTCCCTTATAAACCTGTCCCGAACAGACGCCTACCCCCCCCCCCCAACCAAACACCTCCATTCACCCCTCATCTCTCTGAGACCCAAACCCTAGCCGCCCTTAAATTCCACCGCCGCTCCGCTGCAAACCATCGAAAATCGCCTCACGGTGGTCCCGGTGGTCTAATCGACCCCAAACTCCCCTTCACCTCCTCATTCCCAATCTCCAACTAGTTTCCTTCAAATCCCTTTGGATTTGTTCGGATTTTAGATCGAAAATTTGGCCAAAACCCTAATTATCCCAAATCACTCCAAAATCACACCCCACCTTCCTCACGCCCCTCTAAGTCCTATAGTACCTTTATTTGCCCAAAACCCTCGCTTTGGTTGCGTTAATTTTGGACCCATTCCTGGAACCCTAATTTCGTTCTTGGTCTCTGATTTGGGCACGCGAAGAACGACCTTTTGGACCCATGACTTACATCAGTCGATTGCTTTTGATGAGAGCAATCGATTGATGCTAGTTTAGGTTCATCTTGCCCCATCAAGTTGTCCGTGTTTGTGACTGTCCCCAAGTCCTCAGGGTATTTTTCCTTCGACCTTTCTTCTTTCATCTTTTGCTTTTGTTTAGCTGACATGAGTTAAGCTTGAATTTCAGCATGTGTTATTTTGTTAATTAATTGTTTGTCCGGTTTGTTTATGATTATTAAATTTTCCAAGCATGTTCATTGATTAGGTTTGATAGGTCTTAAACTTTGCTAATAGTGATAGGACCCTTCTGCTATGAATTTGCTCCGTATTTGATTTTATTTTGGTTTGGAATTAAGCTAGGTTAAATTATTTTATTTTTGTTTGTTCATCATTATTGATTTGAATTCTGATTTTTGTTTACCCTGTCTCTGTTTTGCTTGAATTGAAAAATCATTGAAACTTAAGGGACCTAACTGAACTATAAAAGTTTAGGATAGAAGCTGAATAAGCAGTAACTTGAAGGGTAAAACTGAATTTTTACTTAGGCTAAAATCAGAAAGTTCTAGAATACAACACACTTGTCCTTATCCTTAGAAAATATTGGTTTTGGATAAGGAAAAAGGACGGACAGCTGTAGCAAAGGACTGTACTATTAAGGAAATTCAGAATTTAGGGTAGCATATTCTTTTTTGATACCATTTTTGGATACCCTATATATAGAAAGCACTCATTCACACAAAGGGGGATTCAGCCTGAATTTCTGCAGACAAAACCTCTGAAAATACGATTAGATTCTGAGAATTTTAAAGAGCACTTTCAAAAGTATTCAGCTACTCTTTTGAACAGAAACTTTTCACTCCTTTTACTGAGTCCCACCTAAATCAGAACACATTTTCCTTCAAAGATTCTGGGTTTCTTGATTTGCAAGATGGTTTGAATTGGAAGCTGTGATATTGTTGGTTATTGGTTGCTGTTTCGTTGACCTTTTGCTTGGTTATTTTGCTCTTTTCTCTGAAGATTCACAGCCTTGCTTCTGTTCTTTGTAACCAGGTACACCTTGAGCTTTGAATCATGAATGAAATACAAGATTTTCTTTGAAGAATGTACTGCTACCATGGAGTTCAAAAGTGCATGTTTACATGTTTATTTTTAGTTTCTTTCTGATGTTTTCTTTTAAGTCATTTGACTTCTGATCTTATCTTTCTCCTCACTAGCTCTTACTCAAATACATCAAGAATGTTGTGTTGTTTTCATGAAGTAGCTAGGATGTTTAGTATTGAAGTTGCTGAACATTATCGCTTTCATAGGTTAAAATTCAGCTTAAATGGTTTAGCTTTAAAACATGGAATCTCAGTCTGCTCTGCACATATGTTTTAAATTAGTCAGCTGTCCAGTGCTCTCAACCTTGCATCCTGGATCTGTTTTGATAGTCAGCAATTTTCTCTTAGGATTTCCATGTATGAATATCTAAAACTAGACCATTTTGTATTGATTTCAAGCTGGTAAATAGCTCTAGTAGTTTGTCTAGATGTGTGTTAAATGTTGACTAGTATATTAAGCTTAAAATGTAGTATTTGGCTGTCAAGTGCATTCATTTAAATCGTCACTGATCTCAGCATGTTTCAAGAGTAATGATTGTATGGCTAAATTTAAAGTGTCGTGTGAATAGTTTGAGGTTTACTTTTATTTTTACTAAAGGAATGATATCAGTTATGGTCCAGCATATTAGGCATTTTATTTACAATTGATGCAAATATGGCTATACACATGTGGTGATGATTTAAGCCTTAACAGGATTTTAGTTGTTTGAGGCATTTTGGGCCTGGCAATGGCCCAAATCAGGTTAGCAGGCTAAAAAGGGGCTTCATCGTGTCCGTTCCCCTATGCTTTACGCTTGGGCTCAATTTTGAGCCCAGTTGGTTTCATCCTTGTTTTCTTTAGCCAGCAACTTTAATAATATACCGGGCCTGCTACTGGCCCAGCTCCTTGCCAATAGCTAACATACGCCTTATATTTCCTTGCATATAATAGTTTTATTTCAAGTCCAAAATAGTTAAGTAAGAACTCCTTCCTATTACTTTAATTAAACAGGCCTTCTAAAATTAGGGTGTACCATATACAAATATAATCTTTAATTTATGGCCCTCATATAATTGAATTAATTTAGAAATGCCTTGAATACTCGTAATTTGCTTTAGGCTCGATTTAGGCTAGTATTATGATTATGTATACGTTCGCGTAATATAATTACAAATTTAATTCTTAAAAGACTCAAGGTATGCGTTCGCGCAACCTCAACTAATTTTTTTTCTTAATAAAATAAACAAAGCATTATTAATTGTGGACACGTTCGCATGACATGATTTTGACGCGTCGAAAGAATAGAGTGGACGTATGCGTAACTCAATTCTTTAATTACGAATAATTCATGTAATTTTAACAGCGGTAAAAAGATAAACGCAGATAGGTCCTAAAAATGAGTAGCTAAACAATTTAAGCCAAGTAATAATCACTAAACGACCGTGCTAGAACTACGGAATCCGGGAATGCCTAACACCTTCTCCCGGGTTAACGGAATTCCTTATCTAGAATTTCTAGTTCGCAGACCCTTAAAAAATAAAATTTTCCTCGATTTGGGATTTTAAAATAAACCGGTGACTTGGGACACCAAATAAACTATTCCAAGTGGCGACTCTAAGAATTAAATAAATAATCTCATTCCAAATAATGTCACTTAAATTTGAAAAACTCCCCTATATATACCCTTCTCGGGGTGTGTGTAAAAAAGGAGGTGTGACAATTATTAGTGATAATGGTCTTTGGGATACCAAAGCGACATATGATGTTGGAATAAAAAAAGTCTACCACTGCTTTCTTGGTGACTGCTTTGAAAGTGACGGCCTCCACCCACTTGGTGAAGTAATCAATTGCAACCAAAATGAATCTATGCCCATTTGAAGCCTTTGGCTCGATTGGCCCAATAACATCCATTCCCCAAGCAACTAAAGGCCAAAGAGAGGACATGGTGCAACTCCGAACGAGGCGAGTGAATCAGGTCACCATGAATCTGGCATTGGTGACACTTGCGAATAAAAATGAAGCAATCTCGCTCCATAGTAAGCCAATAATACCTTTCCCGCAGAATCTTATTCGCCAAAACATATCCATTCATGTGAGGTCCGCATACCCCCGAATGCACCTCGCTCATGATTTGCTCCGCTTCTGTGGCATCTATGCATCTCAACAAGTTTAAATCTGGGGTCCTCTTGTACAGAATTTCCCCATTCAAGAAGAAACCACTGGCGAGCCGCCTTACAGTTCTTTTTTGATCTCCTTTGGCATGCTCTGGATATTATCTTGTTTTCAGGAATCGTTTTATGTCATGATACCATGGTTCACCATCTAGTTCTGTCTCAATTGTATTGCAGTAACTGTGTTGATTCTGAACTTGGATTTTTAGTGGATCAATATGAGTGTTTCCTGGATAAGGGAGCATCGAGGCTAAAGTAGCCAAGGCATCGGATAGCTCGTTGTGAAACCTGGGAATGTACCTGAACTCGATGGATTTAAATCTTTTGCTCAAGTCTTGCACACATTGTCTGTATGGAATAAGCTTGATGTCTTGAGTCTCCCGTTCGCCCTGGGCTTGCCGGATAAGCAAGTCGGAATCTCCCATAACCAATAGTTCATGCACATCCAGATCAATGGCCATTTTCATACCCATGATACAAGCTTCGTATTCTGCCGTATTATTGGTACAAAAGCACCGAAGTCGGGCCGTCGTAGGGTAATGATGTCTAATAGGTGAGATAAGGATTGCCCCGATACCAACTCCTTTGATATTGACAGCCCCATCAAAATACATTTTCCATACAGGGTCATCGTCTGGAACTACTTCCTCTATTGAGTTGACCTCTTCATCTGGGAAGTATGTGCTAAGTGGCATGTACTCATCA